TGAACTCATGATATATAAAGAACTCAAAAAACTTAATAACTAAAAAACAAAATAACCCAATCAATAAATGGGCAAAGGAACTGAACAGACAACTTCTCAGAAGAAGATATACAACCAATCAACAAACATGAAAAAGTGTTCCACATCACTAGTAGCAATTAGAGAAATGTAAATTAAAACTATATGGAGGTTTCATCTCACTCCAGTCAGAATGGTAATTATCAAGAATACAAGTAACAATAAATGTTGGTGAGGATGTGGGGAAAAGGTACACTCATACATTGTGGGTAGGACTGCAAATTGGTGCAACAACTCAGGAAAGTAGTATGGAGATTCCTCAGAAAACTTGGAATGAAACCACCATTTAACCCAGTTATCCAACTCCTTGGCATATGCGCAAAGGACTAGGGATATAGATCAGTGGTAAATTATCCCTGGGTTCAATCCCCAGGGGGAGGGGGGAAAGATTGTATAGGTATTTTACAAATTTTCACTTAAAGATCAAATTTACTTGCTTAGCCTAAATTAATTTTTAATGTTAGCCTTATTTTTTAAGTACATAACTGTTATAGTTAAATCAACATCCGGGGGTTTCATAAATTGACATCCAGACCACTCATATATAATGGAATCAAACCTTTATTGAAGCACACCAGCAGCAACTGACAGGGAACATAAAGTCTGTTCCAGATCAGCCCCAAACAATTGCAAGGGCACTCCTTTTAAGCTTGAAAGCCACAAAAGGGATATTTGGGGGTTTAGCCAATGCAAGCAAGTCAAGTTACAGAAGTGGGAGAGCGTAGTCAGGTGGCGGGAAGCTTAGCCAATCACAATTAGCCCAGTCACCCCAGTTACAGAAACAGAGCCCAGTGTTCTTGAGGGTTTCTACAACAAAAGGAAAACCAACTTGCCCCAGTCATGACCTTTTTATTTGGCATGGCTGTTTTACAAAGTGGAGTTACTCAACAAAATTGAGTCACTTTGGCTTGACTATCACATAACATGTCTAAATGTCTCAAAAATTATTTAAAATGTACAGTGAAAGTTTGCTTCTTGCCATGTCCCTCAACATAGTTTCTCTCTTAGGGAACAAATGTGAATTTATCCAGCTCATTCTTTGCAATAGCTAAACAGTAAATATTGCATGCCTTCCATTACTAAACTTTAACACAAAACCTAGGGATGAAGATTTAGTTTGTTAGTAGTTTTTGGCTCAGTGGTTAAATGCCCCTGGATTCAAGACCCACCAAAAAAAGAAGTCTTTTCCTGTTATGAAGCAATGGATAATCTTGTACGTTATTTTGTACAAACATGGGTGTCTTAAATTTGTTTTCATGGAAGCAGAGACTGGGCAAGTGATTTGTTAGGAAAACACTTGTTCTTTTTGTTTTGTTTTGTTTCTTTTTGTGTTGTAGCACTGGAGACGAAACTCTAGGCTTCGCTCATGCTAGTGAAATATTCTACCACTGAGCTGCACTGCCAGTCCCTCTAGAAAAGCATTGTGAGAAGATATCCCATGAGGAAAGCAAGACAGGAAGATGAAGAAGTAAAGCAAAAATGTGGTTCTAAATAAAATCTAGGTTTGACCTGTTCTTATATACAACTCTGAAGCACAAACTTCTAGAGAACCTTAGACCTATCCTGCTAGCTTTCATTCTGTCAATCTCATAAACTGTTTAGGAGTTTCAGCTGGGGTGGGGTTGACAGCACGCACATGTTCTTACGGGGAGTTAAGCAGCATTGCCTCAGAATTGAAACTTTGGAATCTCCAGATAAAATGGCTCCCCACCTAAAATGGCAAATCTGATGCCAATAGTCATAACTCTTAGGTAGAGTGCTCTGGGTTCAACCCACAGTACTGAAACAATAGAGAGGGAGGGAAGGAAGGATGGAGAGGGAGAGAGTGTGTCTAATGTGTGTCAGACATGGGCTAACCACAAACCATAGAGACTTAGTGACAAATATGATATATAACTTGAGCATCCCTAATACAAAAATCTAAAATGCTCCAAAATTTAAAACATTTTGAACACTGACATGATACCATAAGTGGAAAATTCCATACCAGACCTCATGAAATGGATTGTAGTAAAAACTCAGGAGCACAACACATAAACTTTGTTGTATACACAGAATTATGAAAAATATTGTATAAAATTATCTCCAGGCTATACATCATATGTATGTGTTTTGTGTGTGTTTGTGTGTATTATATATTTATATATATATAAATTTAGACTAGGGCCCTATCCCCAAGATATCCCCAAATCCAACAAACTGCAAAATCCCAAACACTTCTGATACTAAACATTTCACTTAAGGGACACTTAACATCTAATCCCCGGATACTAAAACTAAAGAGATTAGTGAGGGAGATAAACAAGTGAACAGATATCATATGCTATAGATTGAGTCTTAAATGTTTCTCAAAAGCCCACTTGTTAAAGGTTTGGTCACCAGTTTGAGGTGCTACTGGAAGGTAGTGGAACCTTTAGGAGTAGTGTAATGCCAGATTTGTGGGACCCCAATAGAGCTCCAGGAGCCGAATCTGATGCAATCACAGGAGTCTTTATTGTAAGCCTGGACTCACAACTATTCCAACGAAGCGGAATGAGTTCAGTGAGGATTTATAGGGTTTTGGGGGGATACTCAATGCGTCACAACATCACACAGCAAATCATTTCACGTCGCGGGAAAGTCAAACAACAACAACTCTTAACATTGATTAACACATTCATTGGTGGGAACAAGTCGGGTAAGGGTGATTGGTTAGTTCAAGTGGTGGAGACATTTGAACTGATTGGTTTAGGCCGCGAGGGGTTGCAAGAATGTATATGCTAAAGTGCAGGGTTGCCTAATCATGTTATCAATCACCAAAACTACCTGGTATTTCAGATATTTTCCCTGTCTCCCACTGATTGGTGGTTGCTAGGGGGTTACTATGGGTCCTCACCTAGCGTAATGAGTCAGGGACACTGGCGCCACAGATCTCCCCTGTTAAACAACTCAGCAGGGTGGGTATGTGCCTAGGAGGCTCTGTGGGTTTTTCCAAGGACAAGGGTCACGCCCCCTCTCTGGACAGGACTTAAGGTAGACACTGCTTTCTCAAAAAATGGAGTCACGTCAGTTTCTCAGTAGGACCTAGTGCAAAAGTTAGGTCACCAGGCTTGTGCCCTTGAAGGGGCATGGGACCTTGGCTCCTTCCTCTCTCACTTCCCAGCCATCACTAGTTGAGCAATCTTAGTTTATCATGTGCTTCCCACCATGGTATGCTGACTCAGCACAGGACCCAAAGCAATGGAGCCAACTAACTGTGAACTTTAAAACTGTGAGCCAAAATAAACATTTCCTCCTTTTAAGTTCATTAACCTCCGATATTTGTCACAGCGACTAAAAGCTAACACATCATGTGATAAAATGAAACTGAAAGTATATTATTTTAGATACAATTAGGAAAATTTTCTTCAGTTGCCTTCTGTGACTCATTCTCTCTTGATTTTGCTATTTCACTGGCTGCTACCCCCGTTACCCATTGCTAATTCCTCTACAGTGCTCCAAACTCTAAATTTTAGAGTGCCTCTAATTCATTCTTCGGACCTCTTCCTCTCTGTCTACTTTACTCCTGAGGTATACTACAAGCTGATAATTTCCCACTTATATTCCAGCCCAAACCCCTGAGTATAGCTCTGAATTCCTGTTTGACATCTCCACTTGGATGTAAGATAGGCATCTCTGGCTCAGCTTATCTAAAAACAAATTCCTGATTTCTTCCTCAAGCCCACTCTTATAGCATCTGTATCTCAGTGGGAAAATTTTTTTCTTTTACACACTTAGAACAAAAATCTTGTAGTCACTTTTGACTTCTCTCTTTTCCTCATACTTTGCATAAGTCCCTTAATAAATCTTATTGATTTTAAATTCAAAACATAATATATCCATCATATCACCACTCCTTACTACATCATTGCTACCACTCTGGTCCAAACCATCATTTGTTACCCAGAGTATTGCAATAATCCCTGAATAATATCTATCTCTGCACCTCTGTGTCTATTATTCACACATTACTATAAGTGATTCTATTAAAATGCAAATAAGATTAGGGTTTTGTTTGTTTGGTTGGTTGGTTACTTGGGATTGTATCCAGGGGGTACTTTACCCCTGAACTACATCCCCAGCCCTTTTTATTTTGAGACAGAGTCTAGCTAAAGTCTTGCCCAGATTAGTTACTTGTGATCCTCCTGTCTCATCCTCCTGAGTTGCTAGGATTACAGGCCTGTACCTCTGCACCTGGCTTTATGATGTATTTGAACTCAAAACCTCCTATGACTTCCTGTCTCACTCATGATTTTCCAACCCAAACCCTGGTCTCCCCAATATCATCTCTTTATATTCTTCCCCTTGGGTTCCTCAGCTCCAGCCATACTGACTTCCTTTTCATTCCCTGAACACCAGTATACTTCCACCTCAGGACCTTTGAATTTAGTCTTCCTTCTGTTTGAATCACTTTTTCATCACATATCCATGTGTTTTTCTTCCTCACTTCCTTCATGTCTCTATTCAGATGTCACCTTGATGGTGATACTGTCCTGACTTCCCATATAAAATAATGTTTCTATGTCCCATTGAAAGACCCCAGCCCAATAACTTTAGGCCCAGTAATAAATCACCAGGGCTTGCTTCCGCACCTGCACAGACGTCAGATGTATTTTTCAGAAAATCAGTTAAGTGTAACCGATTAAGAAAGGACAGGATGGTTGGGAAAGGAGCCGGCACGGTTGGGCAAACGGGATCATACAATGAAAAACCATACAATGAATAACAAATGGTTTTTATGTGGTTTTTCCAGGAACCTATAGTGAAAAACAAGTTTACCCTTTAAGTGACCTATATGCTGGATTCAAAAGAGCTAATGAGATACCTGTTACTGTGCTAGGAGGGAAACTGACCACTGTACCCTATAAAAGATCTGTACCCCAAAGCCCGGTGTGCCAGTTCACCGAAGCTCCGGCTGAGGTTTCGCTGGGCACCCGCAGGCGCCTGTGTAGCAATAAATCACCTCTTGCGTTTGCAGCCAGTGCCTCGTGCATCTTTCTTGGACAGGGAATCGGCGGGTCTTTCATTTGGCGAGCCAGCCAGGAGAACTCCTATAACCCCATCCGGATCCCTGCCCGAGGAACACCCGATAACCACTGGGAGGTAAGCTGGCCAGTTCGTGTCATTTTGTGTCTCTCTATGTCTGGTTGTTATCTTGTTATCTGTTCATGCGCAGCGTCTGTACGATTACGCGTAATCGCTCTGTATTCTGGGCAGCTTGAGAAGGAGTTGACGAACTCGGACTTCTCCCCTGCCACCCTGGGAGACGTCCCAGGGGCTCAGGGAGGCCCATCTTGGGGGGGCCTCCAATGTTCTGTAGAGTACACTGTACTCGTGGGTGACGGAGGTGACGGTATCCCTCCTCTCCCTAATCCGTCAGGTACGTTTGGTTTGTGCTCGAGCTGCGCAGCGTTCTCTGTGTCTAGTTTGATATTTGTGTCTGTCTTCTTGCCTTTGCACTTTCTCACTCCATCTAAGACTAACATGGGACAATCTATAACAACTCCTCTGAGTCTTACTCTGGATCACTGGCAGGACGTTCGGAACCGGGCCGACAACCTGTCAGTAGAGGTCAAAAAGAAAAAATGGATAACACTCTGCACCACAGAATGGCCATCATATGACATCGGTTGGCCTAAAGAAGGGACATTTAATCTTAATTATATCTTGCAGGTGAAGTCCCGAGTTTTCATTCAGGGACCACAGGGGCATCCTGATCAAGTGCCCTACATCGTTACTTGGGAAAATTTGGCTTCTGACCCACCTTCTTGGGTTGCCCCTTTTTCTCACTCTAAGCTTCCTCCCTGCTCCCTCTCCGGTGGCTCCACGCCTCCAACGCTGCCGCCTGAAACTCCTCCCCTACCTTCCGCCCCACTTATCCCAGTCCCTACATCCCCTCCCAAAACCTCTAGGCTTTACCTCGTTCTTGACAAATCTGAAAAATCAGCCCCAACAGGGACAAAACAAAAAAAGGTTTTGCCCCCCGAAGATGCAGTTCTTATAGATTTGATGACTGGAGAACACCCACCCTATCATCCCCAACCTCTACCTGCCCCCATCTTAACCAGGCATCCTCAGGGGAAGAAAACGAGGGAGATCAAGAAGATTCGGCTCCCCGTAATCCTCCAGAGCCTTCCCCTATGGTGGGACGACTCCGCGGGCGCCAAAAACCTCATGCCTTGGGGAATACATCTAGTGCCTTCCCCTTACAGCAGACGGGAGGCCCAAATGGCCAATACCAGTACTGGCCCTTTTCTGCTTCTGATCTTTATAATTGGAAATCCCACAATCCTTCTTTCTCTAGTGATCCTGTAGCCCTAACCTCTCTAATAGAATCTATTCTAGTGACTCACCAGCCAACCTGGGATGACTGCCAGCAGCTTCTACAGACTCTTCTCACTTCTGAAGAGAAACAAAAAGTTCTCCTGGAAGCCCGTAAAAATGTGCCAGGGGATGACGGACGCCCCACTCAACTCCCAAATTTGATTAATGAAGCTTTCCCCTTAACACGACCAGAATGGGACTACAACACTGATGCCGGTAGGAACCACTTACGTCTCTATCACCAGTTACTCATAGCGGGTCTCCATGGAGCAGGGTGACGGCCCACTAATTTGGCGCAGGTAAGACAGACTATCCAGGGGTCAGAAGAAACTCCGACTGCATTCTTAGAGAGATTAAAGGAAGCCTATCGGAGGTACACACCTTTTGACCCAGACAATGAGGATCAGAGAGGAAACGTTTCTATGGCCTTTATTTGGCAGTCCGCTCCAGATATCAGGACTAAGTTACAAAGATTAGACAATTTACAAGATTATTCTTTAGCAGACTTATTAAGGGAAGCAGAAAAGATCTTTAACAAGAGAGAGACTCCAGAGGAAAAAGAGGAAAGGATTAGGAAAATCCAGGAAGAGAGGGATCTCAAATTTAAGGAAGAACTAGACAAGAGAGATTGAAAACGTGATAAAGAATTAACTAAGATATTGGCCACCGTAACACAGACAGGGCAACAAGGAAAGAGAACAGATAGGGAAAGGGAACAAAATAGGCCCCGTGTAGACCGAGACCAATGTGCCTACTGCAAGGAAAAAGGACATTGGATAAAAGACTGCCCAAATAAACCCCCCAACCCCAGGAGAAGTACAAACCGGGCCCCCTCAATTGTTAGCCCTGGATGAAGATTAGGGAAGTCAGGGCCAGGAGCTCCCCCCTGAGCCCCGGGTAACTCTACAAGTAGGGGGGCAACCTGTAACCTTCTTGGTGGATACGGGAGCCCAACACTCAGTGCTGACACGGGCACCAGGACCTATGAGCCACAAAACGACGTGGGTCCAAGGCGCCACCGGAAGCAAACCGTACCGATGGACCACCAAAAGAGAAGTACATCTTGCCACAGGTAAAGTTTCCCATTCGTTTCTGCATGTGCCTGATTGTCCGTATCCACTATTAGGATGAGATCTATTAACCAAATTAAGAGCCCAAATTTATTTTAAAGATGGGAGTGCCTCCGTCACGGGGCCAAACCAGACCCCCTTACACATATTGACTTTCAAATTAGATGACGAATATAAACTTTTCGACAAGCCTTCGATACCTATGAAGGACATGAACTATTGGCTTGATTCGTACCCGGAGGCTTGGGCTGAAACTGGAGGAATGGGAATGGCCAAACAGCAACCTCCAATAGTCATTCACTTAAGAACCACCGCTACTCCCATAAATATTAAGCAATATCCTATGTCAAGGGAAGCTCACCAGGGCATCAAACCACATATCAAATGCCTCCTAGACCAAGGCATCCTAACTCCTTGCCGGTCGCCCTGGAACACCCCTCTGTTGCCAGTCAAAAAGCCAGGAACAAATGACTACAGACCTGTCCAAGATTTAAGAGAGGTAAACAAAAGAGTAGAAGATATTCACCCCACGGTGCCCAACCCTTACAATCTCCTCAGCACCTTGCCTCCCACCCATACTTGGTATACTGTCCTGGACCTAAAAGATGCCTTCTTCTGCCTAAGATTGTCTCCCCAAAGCCAGGCTCTCTTTGCATTTGAATGGAAGGATCCCGAGGAAGGAGTCTCTGGACAACTGACCTGGACAAGGCTGCCACAAGGATTTAAAAACAGCCCAACGCTCTTCGATGAGGCTTTACATCAGGACCTGGCCGATTTTCGTGTAAGACACCCCTCCTTAATTATGCTTCAATATGTAGATGACATCTTGTTGGCTGCTATCTCCGAAGAGGACTGCCTGACAGGTACGAAGGCTTCATTACAAACTCTGGGGCAGTTGGGGTACAGAGCGTCAGCTAAAAAGGCCCAGATCTGTCAGACAACAGTTACTTATCTTGGCTACGAACTTCATGATGGCCAACGGTGGTTAACAGCTGCCAGAAAAGAGACTATTTCGAGCATACCAGTCCCCCAGAGTCCTAAACAGCTGCGGGAGTTCCTAGGGACCGCAGGTTTCTGTAGACTCTGGATTCCTGGGTTTGTGGAGATAGCAGCCCCCTTGTATCCACTGACTAAACAGGGAAACGCCTTTAATTGGATGGAAGAACAACAATTGGCATTTGATCGCATCAAATTAGCCCTTTTATCTGCCCCCGCCTTAGGCTTACCAGATATTACCAAGCCTTTTGACTTATTTATAGATGAAAAGCAGGGCTATGCAAAAGGAGTCTTAGCCCAAAAACTGGGGCCCTGGAGGCGCCCCATAGCCTACCTGTCAAAGAAACTGGATCCAGTAGCATCAGGATGGCCCCCATGTCTTCGGATGATAGCAGCTGTGGCTGTCCTAATCAAGGACGCCACCAAACTGACTCTGGGGCAACCATTAACTTTATTAACTCCTCATGCTATCGAAACAATAATTCGCCAGCCGCCCGATCGCTGGGTGTCAAACGCCCGACTCACCCATTACCAGTCTTTGTTGTTGGACACTGACCGAATTCAGTTCGGCCCCATAGTCACTCTAAATCCAGCAACCCTTCTACCGCTCCCGGGAGAAGCAAATCCTCACAACTGCCAGCAGATTCTCGCAGAGACACAGGGGACCCGGTCAGACCTCACAGACCAACCTATGAAGGATGCAGAGCTGGTCTGGTACACGGATGGAAGCAGTTACCTACTCAATGGAGAATGGCATGCGGGAGCAGCCATTACCACCGAATCTGAGGTAATATGGGCGAGTGCATTGCCGGGCGGAACATCGGCCCAGCGGGCAGAACTGATAGCTCTGACCCAAGCCTTGAAGTTGGCAGAGGGAAAAAAACTAAACGTGTATACAGACAGCAGGTATGCTTTTGCCACTGCTCATATACATGGAGAGATTTACAGGCGCCGGGGATTACTGACCTCAGAAGGAAAAGAAATCAAAAATAAGACTGAAATATTAGCTTTGCTTAAAGCTTTATTTCTACCTAAAAAGCTAAGTATCATGCATTGCCCTGGCCATCAGAAAGGAGATACTCCGGAGGCGAAGGGAAACAGGTTAGCAGATGAGACAGCCAAAAAGGCAGCCCAGGGGCCCCAACTCCTAGTGATGACTCTATTGCCCCAACAGGCAGACCCACGACACAATGACTATGAAGAACAGTGGGTCTACGAGGACAGAGATTTAGATATCATACAGAAGCTGGACGCCTCTTATAACCAAGAGGACCATACCTGGAAATATCAAGGAAAAACCATAATGCCCCTTAAAAATGCTAAGGAACTAATAAAATCATTACATAAGCTGACACATCTTGGGGTTAAAAAGATGAAAAATCTCTTGGACCGTGGAGAGGGTACTCTTTATCTTCCAGATAGGGACCGACTCCTCCGACAGACTGCAGAAAATTGTCAGGCATGTGCCCAGGTAAATGCTGGTAAAGTTAAAATCGGGACAGGAATCCGGGTTAGAGGACATAAACCTGGAACACATTGGGAGATAGACTTCACTGAAGTCCAACCTGGTATGTATGGATATAAATATCTTCTGGTTTTTGTTGATACCTTTTCTGGATGGGTAGAAGCATTCCCCACCCGACATGAAACCGCCAAGGTCGTTGCTAAGAAGCTATTAGAAGAAATTTTCCCAAGGTATGGGGTACCTGAAATAATTGGGTCAGATAACGGGCCTGCCTTCGTCTCCCAGGTAAGTCAGGCGGTGGCCAATTCATTGGGGATTAATTGGAAGTTACATTGTGCATATAGACCCCAAAGCTCAGGACAGGTAGAAAGAATGAACAGAACAATCAAGGAGACTTTAACTAAATTAACGCTTGAAACTGGCACTAGAGACTGGGTGCAACTCCTACCCTTAGCCTTATATCGAGCCCGAAATACTCCGGGCCCTCAGGGACTTACCCCATTTGAAATTCTATATGGTGCTCCGCCACCTGCTGTTAATTTTTATGAAACTGAAATTTATGCCTCCCTCACCCCCTCTGTGCAGACTCATTTACGCGCACTGCAATTGGTCCAGAACGAGGTCTGGAAGCCATTAGCAGCGGCATATAAGGAGGAACTCAAAACCCCGTCGGTGCCACATCCCTACAAGATTGGAGACACCGTCTGGGTACGCAGACATCAGAACAAGAACCTCGAACCTCGGTGGAAAGGACCTTACACCGTCCTGCTAACTACTCCTACCGCCATCAAGGTAGATGGCATTGCTGCCTGGATCCACGCTTCCCTCGTGAAGGCTGCACATCCACAGGACTCTACCATCGCTCCTCAAGATCCAAAATGGAAATTACAACGCACCCAAAACCCGCTAAAGATAAGACTTACATGCTGTTAATCACTCTTGCTCTCTACGCTACTCCCCTCGTCCTAGGTAGTAATCCCCATACCCCCATGAAGTTGACTTGGCAGGTGTATTCCTAAACCGGGGAAGTAATTTGGTCCATTACAGCAACCCACACCCCTGGCACATGGTGGCCTACCTTGACCCCAGACTTTTGCCAACTAGCCGCTGGGTTAGACTCTTGGGATATTCCCGACAGATCATATGATCAGCTCAGTACTTATATGACCCCCGGACCACCCGGTTGGAGAATGCTAGGATGTGCTACCCCGACAGCAAGATGCAGACTGGGTCAATATGACTTTTACGCTTGTCCCAAAGAGGGAAGAGACCGATCCCAAACATATAAATGTGGAGGTTATGAAACAAACTTTTGCTCCTCCTGGGGCTGCGAAACTACAGGGGACGCTTACTGGAAACCTTCTTCTGACAAGGAATTCATAAAAATACTTAAAAACTTCACTACCTATGGCACAGGTCCCTCTGATTGCTATCACCCCCCTAAATCTTACTACCAAGGGGACAAATCATTGCCCTTACAGATACAGTTCACAGAAAGAGGAAAAAAACAACTAGATCCCTGGCTCACTGGGAGAACATGGGGCCTTAGATGGTATATGTTAGGATATGATCTCGGTGTAATTCTCAAAATCAGACTATCTCAAACCCCGATTATGATGAGCCCAATAGGGCCCAATCCTGTTCTTGGGGACCAAAGAGCTCCCTCAGTTCCCAGACAATCAAAAAGTCCACCCAAAGTACCCCCCAGTAAGCCGCCCGTGCCTCAAATTGTAACCATAGACTATCAAACCTCTAGTTATTCCCCCGAACCCACCTTCCCTGGGACCGAGGACCGATTGTTAGATTTGATTCGAGGAGCCTTTTATGCCCTCAATGCCACTGACCCAGACCACACCCGGGATTGTTGGCTCTGTCTCGCCTCCGGCCCACCCTATTATGAAGGAATAGCAATAATGTCTGACTGGAATAGTAATATAAACCCTGATCCTAAGTGTGTGTCCCTGCCCAGCTATAAGCTCACCATCACTGAAGTTTCAGGGCAAGGGATCTGTGTAGGAAACATACCCCTGTCACATAAACCTCTCTCTAATACTACCCTCCCGACAAATGGCTCACAAAATAATTATTTGTGGGGCCCCCC